AGAGATATTTTTCATTTTCGTCAGGATTCGTTCGTTCGTTTGTTAAAAGACGCAACTATATTCTACTTGGAGCAACCAATTTTGGATTGCTAACATATATATATTGTTTAATTACTGCACTGAATGCGATATCTATGTCACAGCACGAACTGGACGTGGATTCGAATAAACATTAAGCAACACAGTACAGCAAAAATTGCACCAGAGTGATAAAAGGATTTGAGATATTTTCTATTTTTTGAGGAAGTGTAATATTTCGATGAAAATGGACAGAATAACTCCAAGACCAGGTATAGTACAAAATAATATATTTCTTAAAGGAATGCATTTATTTGTAGACATATAATTTATAAAACTCGGTGAAACAGTTAATATTTGCTACCCGTACACTTTTCAGGATTAAAGAGGAAAATGGGTTCGTTTATACTGAACCTGAATAATTTGAATAATAGTTTTGATAGCTATATGCAAGTTTTCTCCTTGTGATTTGAATAATAGTTTTGATAGCTATATGCCAGTTTTCTCCTTATGATTTGAATAATAGTTTTGATAGCTATATGCAAGTTTTCTCCTTGTGATTTGAATAATTGTTTTGATTGGTATATATCAGTTTTCTCCTTGTGATATGAATAATAGTTTTGATAGCTATATGCAAGTTTTCTCCTTGTGATTTGAATAATGGTTTTGATAGGTCTATGTCTGTTTTCTCCTTGTGATTTGAATAATAGTTTTGATAGCTATATTCCAGTTTTCTCCCTGTGATTTGAATAATTGTTTTGATAGCTATATGCCAGTTTTCTCCTTGTGATTTGAATAATAGTTTTGATAGCTATATTCCAGTTTTCTCCTTGTGATTTGAATAATAGTTTTGATAGCTATATGCAAGTTATTGTTGTTAATAAGTTGTTGTGATTTGAATAATAGTTTTGATAGCTATATTCCAGTTTTCTCCTTGTGATTTGAATAATTGTTTTGATAGCTATATGCCAGTTTTCTCCTTGTGATTTGAATAATTGTTTTGATTGGTATATATCAGTTTTCTCCTTGTGATATGAATAATAGTTTTGATAGGTATATGTCTGTTTTCTTCTTGTGATTTGAATAATATTTTTGATTGGTATATATCATTTTTCATCTAGTGATTTGAATAATAGTTTTGATTGGTATATATCAGTTTTCTCCTTGTGATTTGAATAATAGTTTTGATTGGTATATATCAGTTTTCTCCTTGTGATTTGAATAATTGTTTTGATAGCTATATGTCAGTTTTCTCCTTGTGATTTGAATAATAGTTTTTGATTGGTATATATCATTTTTCTTCTAGTGATTTGAATAATAGTTTTGATTGGTATATATCAGTTTTCTCCTTGTGATTTGAATAATTGTTTTGATAGCTATATTCCAGTTTTCTCCTTGTGATATGAATAATATTTTTGATTGGTATATATCATTTTTCTTCTAGTGATTTGAATAATAGTTTTTATAAGTATACATGTATGTCTGTTTTCTTCTTGTGATTTGAATAATAGTTTTTATAAGTATACATGTATGTCTGTTTTCTTCTTGTGATTTGAATAATAGTTTTTTTATAAGTATACATGTATGTCTGTTTTCTTCTTGTGATTTGAATAATATTTTTGATAGATATATGTCTTTGTTCTTCTTGTGAAATCTAACAAGTGATATTAAATTAGGTGTAACGTCGTATTCTTCTTTCGACTGGGCCAATGAGATTATCAGAATGAAATCTAATATTTTTATCATAAAACACATCAAATTCTAAAAGATTGATTTTCATATTTCGTTAAATCTTATTAACCTGATCTTCGATCTGTATTAAGCACCAAAGCTTCTAGTTCACCTCGTTATTATATTGGTATGTGCGCATTCGTGAAAAAGGGGAAATAGTAGTTTTGACTTGGGTTGCATTTGATTAACGTTTAGTTTGCGATTAACATTGCTAATCGACTGTTACATATAACTGAAAGGGTTACAAAGCTAATCTTTCTATGAAATTTGATAAAAGATACAGGGTTGAACTTAGCTATTTGTAACCTGTAAGAGGATATACTCAGTAAGAATGAATTCACACAATGATATTGTTTTATAAGATGATACATCTTGCTTCTCGTGTACAAAAGGTTAAAAAAAAATAATGTTTGAAATTGCTAGGGTTTTCGAGAATTGTTCGAACTTTGCTGTACTTATGAAGATTCTCCCTCGGCCGGATGAAATTGACATTAGTCAAGTGAAAGACATTATGAACCTATAAGGGAACATTAACTCTTTCCTAGGTGTTCTAAAAAGCTCTTGTCAATATTTACGTTATAACGTATGAGTCTATCGTTCAAAGCCTGTAGCACACTGCGCCTCGGAATATTGTCCCAGTCTATTTTAAGGACATTTAGCAGCAGTAGGTCATTAGAAATGAAGTTCAAAGCAACTCGAGACATTAAGCATGTTGTTTTCTATTGTCAACTGACACTCTATTAGCCTTGTTTAAAATGATTGCCTTGAAATAGGTCAAGTGGGAAAATATTGAATAGTAATATGTGTCAGAATGCACTAAATCAATTCTATTTTTTAAAGATGGCTCAGAGTTTTTAAAATGATAACGAGTTCAAAGGATAATTGAATATGTTAAATACCAAAGTGGACCTACTTAACTTATTATTATTATTGAATAATAATCTCTCGCACACGATTTCAATATCGATATTCATTAAAGAGAAAATACTTTAATCTCGTAATTAACTCTGTTCCCAAGATTCTAACGGTATCTATATAACAAAATATATTAAATGAGAAAATGAAGAATTAGCAATACACAGCAGAATGGGGCAAGGAGCTGGATAACCTCGTGGCGAATCTCCAGTATTTGGCTACTTCTGTTTACTAAGACAATGGGATTATGTGGTCAAAATATTGAGCCAACACATACTCAAAACACGAAAAAAACACCCACTCAAAACACAAAAAACAGACTCAATCTTAACACAAAAGACAGATATACTTAAAACACAAAAACACACTTACTTAAAACACAAAAAACACACTCACTCTAAACACAAAATACAAACACACTCAAAACAACAAAACAACTCAAAACACACAAAAAATACTCACCCAAAACACAAAAAAAAACACAGACAAACTCAAAACACAGACAAAAAAAAACACACACACACTCTAAACACAACAAACACAATCACTCAAAACACAAAAAAGATACTTCCTTTTCAAACTTAATAATAAAATAATAACTAAATAATTCCCCATCTCTTTATTGGTCCTCAGAAATTTTGTCAATCGACTAATAGTCAGGAATATCACAAAACACATTTTACACAACTGTTCTAACATTAAAAGTCCACCATAAAGTTCAACGAATCAATTAATAACCTATCCTCTCTACTATCATTGGTATTTTTAGATGGTATTATCTCAAAATAACTAGTCTGTGGATTATTATTCCATATATAGCAATTCTTATTCCTATTTCTGAATTTGACATTTCAGATGTCTTTTATAGGATATTCCTGATAATTCCAATTACATAATACCGACTCATTCTAAGACGAAAAGGTCGTAACATTTCTCACTAAAGATTTGCAGGAATTTAGATTCTTTATATGACCTTTTTCTCCAAAATTTATTTTTAGATTGCTATATATCATCATAGAATCTTTTGATCATAAATAAATGTCAAGTTGATTATGTGACATGCTAATCTGGATGTTTCATTTCGTATTTGTATTGAGGTGACTCCATTTGGCATCCACGATCTGACGAAATTGTTATGCATCTCATGTTCAAGGTCATTTAATATTCATTAATCAAACGAAACGTATTTGAAATCTGTCTTCTATATTGAAATATGACAGGATACTTGGATAAATTGGAATTATTAAAGACGAATTGTGTTTAATGTAATCTGTTAGAGTGGAATTATAATCAATTCCCCGCCATGTAGTCAATATATATTTTATCAGACCTAAAATAATTCACCATTTAATCACAAGTGTTCAGTAAACACTACAAGTTAACTTAACGTGCGGTTATTTAACCAATAGCCCACTGATTAAATCAATCGAGTGCTATCGATCTGAGGTTATCAGTTTCAGGAATCAATACAGAATGTCTGCTGGCGGTATCAGAACACATGGCAACATTCGATTGTTTGTTTTAATGCCTCTATATTCAAGGCATAGTTTGGTTGAAGAAAAAACACAGTACATAGAATCGAGTTATAAGAATAAATTAAATACCAATATAGCTGTGAGCTAAATTGAGCTAAATTATAACGTTGACTGTCATTGGCAAAGGTGTAAACACAGAGAAGTTTTGTATACAAAATTCATCACAAACGAAAACGGAGAAGTTATGTTTTTTGTGATGACATTGACCATATAATACATAGAAAAAGTGCTAATTGCTATTACGGCATCCCGCCACTCTATGTTAATTGTAAACATAAGAGGTTTTGGTTGACAGTAATAGCAATAAATCAAAGAATCATCTTTAGTTCGATTGCATATTCAATTCTGACCACAAAGATGCTACATGTATTTTAATATAATAATATTATTATTGTCAGTGATAGTTGTTCACGATAAGTTCCACAGTAAAATTCAAAAACACAAACATAAATTTGATTAATTTTAATATTTCTAATTTATGTTTAACCATGTCAAAATACATGTTATCATAGCACGCTCTATATTCATAAAACAAAAATTCTCAAACCAAATCAGACCTTTAAACAACCTCTTGTCAAACCTCTTAATCAAAATGTTATGGACACTGTTTAATCAAGAAACTCGGTTTAAATATTATTATAATATCGCTAGATAGCCTGTATAATAACACGTAATGGGCTAGGCTAGATACAGGCGACATGTGGAATATGACTAAATTGAAAGGCAAGTTCAAAATTCGGAATTTCTTAAATTTAAAATTTTATTCTTCATTAGGAATAATAAATGAGCCGAATATGTCAAATGACAGATGTTTTAATGCAAATTGTTCTTGTTTGTGGTAAATAAATTGATAAAGCTATACATCTTCGCCTGAGTTGGCTATTAAAAATTCAAACATTCGCAAAATTGTGTGCGACATTGTATGGATTAGATTGTAGCTATGCGGATTTGTGCCGACCAAACTAGCTATAATATTTTAATTTACACTTTTAAGATCAAACAAAATGAAACACAATGTGTTATTGTGTTATGTGTGGAGTAAAGAGTAGCTTAGTGTGCGGACTGTACAAATATCTTTTAATGGGATAGGCATCGAACCAAGTATTCAATATCATTCCATACTTGCAGGTTTGATCAGACTGCAAGATAGACATCGAATATCATTTCGATATTGTAGGTGTGCGCATCTTCATGTGCGGATTGTGCTATTGTCCTACTCTACTCACTAAACTAAATTTTAAATGTCAATGATACTTTGCAGGTTGCGAAGTACGATTGCGCATCATGGTAATTGTGCTATTGTTCTTATTACCGAACTAAATACTGAATATCAAGTGTGCGGAGTACGCGGGGTGCGATGGTGTATCTTGGTGTACGAATTGTGACAAAATACCTAACTTATTTAATACTATTGATATATTGCAGGTGTGCGGAGTACGTGGGGTGCAATGGCACATCTTTACGATACAGTGATATCTCTGATCACTCAACCAGCTGAGAAACGATCTGATGCCGAGATCGAACAGATTCTACCCTGGTTTAGAAAGAAATCAGACATGTTTAAACATCTACATTCAGGTATTGTTTACACTTATTGTAATTCTTATAATTTCTGTCTAATGTTTATAAATTGAAAAAAGTACAACATGTAATATACCTTTGCAGAAATCATACGGAATCAAGGACAAGGAAGAAACATGGAAAATATCACCCTTTTTCTCTTTTTTTATATTTCTGATTGGTTGCTTTGACTATCGAATAAAATGTATTTAAAAACTTTTCTTCTTTAAATTTTGGGACGTGCTTTAAACAGTCTTCAACCTTCAAGAAGCAAAGTTGTTTGAAAACTATAACACTTCTCATACATAGTCCGAAACATCTGCTGTATACCGGCCTCTGGGAGCTATTTGGACAGTTGTCGGTTGGCGTACACTCCAGCTTACAACTGTCAATATAGTCATCAGTGGCTGGAATGGAGGCATATGTTGCGGACTACCTTTTATTGAGATTTTATTGATAATAAATGGCATATTTTCGGGCAGCTCTTCCAAAAATTTGCCCCCCCCCCCCCACAAAAGAAGAATGGACGTTGTTGCAGTTATTCATGTTTCCGATATCCATCTGTTAATAAAGTTTTTGCATATTCTTGCTGTCACAATCCCTAGTAATATAAAATCTATTGTAGAGGTATTAAAAGACATCATTAAAAACTGTGAGTTCACATCATGTCAGAGAGACAGTGTTATTATTAGACAGGGAGAGAAAGGAGACTGGTGAGTTGTTGATTCTTATTTTAGTGTTATTCACAGAGCATGCTCTGATGCCATTTTTGGGGGGGAGGGGGGAGGGGGAGGGGGAGGGAGGGAGGGGGTGAGTTTTGAATATATTATGTAAATAGTCTTCAGAATTACAACAAATGTACGAAAAACGCATAATTCCTTCAAAAATATCTCAAACTAGGAACAAACTAATTACTTCTATAGATGTATTTTCTATATATGGCAGTGTTTCATAAAAAGATGACTCGTCTTTTTCAAATGCGGGTAATTTTGAACACACATGGATTTGAAGTCTCCAATTCGACGATGAGCTGTGAACACTATTACGATTTTAGCTTAGCTAAAGAAAAATTCCGTTTCTGAGACTAAAGTATATGATTGGTCAAAAAACGGCATCTGTCCCTTTAATGCATGGACGGGCCATAATTTTACAGAATATTTCATAACTATTAACATTGGTAAAATCTGATCTTTCAGCTTTTTTATCATCCTGACTGGTACAGTATCAATCCATATCAACACCAGTCTGACTGACGAGGAGTTTGCTAACACCCGGAAACGACAGTTGGACGAGGAGGCCCTGGTGTTGAGAGAGGGCCCGGATCTGCATCCTCTCGATAGATCCAAATATGGAAATTACCTTGGAAAAATAGGTATGGTATTTTGTCCTTTGTGGATGTAAACTTTATTAATACGACAAAATGATATAAACCTACATACTATTAAATTGTCTGCACCAGTTTGGGATAATCGTGAATGGAAACGCCATGCAATGTGCACTGAGGATATTTTTGTCAGGGCAGAGGCTCAACTAGATCCAACCGCGGTACTGAATATCAACATAAGTGCAAGAAAAGCATGTACCATTCATCAATAATGAAGCCGTCAAACCGGTGAACAGACTGCTATATTGAAGCATTTCTGGCCCCGTCTTTGGTAATAATCTTAACCTTAAAGTTTTCGTAACAGTATAACTCCAAGGTCTATTGTAATAATTTCAGATAACTCTATAATCACTATATGGTATTTAACTGGGTTTGTTAACTTTCAATATTCGTCTTGATAACAAGATTGCTAATGCACATTCATTTTAATTATTTTTTCAGAGGCCGGTAAAAGTTTTGGAGAGTTGGCTCTAATCAGTAACGACTGTGTCCGTAACGCCAGTATTATCTCGACAGAGGTCACCGATCTCCTTATCGTCCGAAAAGATCTCTACAACCGATCTCTGAGATTTCACCAGGCCCAGGCTTTCGAGGAGAAACAGAAATTCGTCAACTCTCTGCCCCTGTTCCATTCGTGGCAGAGCCGGTATAAAAACATGATGGCGATGAGTTTGAAGAAAGAGATTTTGAAGTTTGAAGATGTGGTGGTAAAACAAGGTGCTCCTGTTGATGGTCTGATATTTATAGTAAGGTCAGTGGTTTTCCAGTAATATCGACACTCTTGCTGCCACAAAGGCTCTTTGAATATCAAATACAGTGGAGGCATGTCCCCCAAACCAAAAAAAAAAACCAAAAAAGCCAACAAAGATTTACTCAAATCTTTTGTGATTTATTATACGGTAACCACAAACAAAAGCCTACCTTGTTCTATATCAGAAATATGTGTCAGCAGCATGACATAAATCTTAATCAATTGATAACCTGGTAACCACAAATACTTTGTTGAATAGTTGGACTTTAAAGTTTCTCATGTCCTTCACCACTGAGGTTTTTATTTCAGTGGTCAAGTTAAAGTAGTGATGGATCCCTCCCAGCACAAAACCCAGTACCCACATCACTTCCCTAAAGGTGCTATCGCTGACCTGGAGAAGGAGAAGGCCAGGGATTTACTTAGAAAGTAGGTATTCTCAATTTTCGTTTTATGGGTGATACGATACAACGTTTCAAAAATTTACACTGTGACATTATGGCACCATAAATCCCAAAGATCATTATTGGATGGTATTAACAACGTTTCAACAATTTACATTGTCATCTTATTTCATCAAAGTAACACAATGGCACCATAAGTCCTAAAGATCATCATTGGTTGATATAAACAACGTTTCAACAACTTACATTGTCATCTTATTTCAAAGTAACATTATGGCACCATAAATCCCAAAGATCATCATTGGATGATATAAACAACGTTTCAACAATTTACATTGTCATCTTATTTCATCAAGTAACACAATAGCTCCATAAGTCCCAAAGATCATCATTGGATGGTATTAACAACGTTTCAACAATTTACATTGTCATCTTATTTCATCAAAGTAACACAATGGCACCATAAGTCCTAAAGATAATCATTGGTTGATATAAACAACGTTTCAACAACTTACATTGTCATCTTATTTCAAAGTAACACAATGGCACCATAAATCCTAAAGATCATCATTGGATGATATAAACAACGTTTCAACAATTTACATTGTCATCTTATTTCATCAAAGTACCACAATAGCTCCATAAGTCCCAAAGATCATCATTGGATGGTATTAACAACGTTTCAACAATTTACATTGTCATCTTATTTCATCAAAGTACCACAATGGCACCATAAGTCCTAAAGATCATCATTGGATGATATAAACAACGTTTCAACAATTTACATTGTCATCTTATTTCATCAAAGTACCACAATGGCACCATAAATCCTAAAGATCATCATTGTATGATATAAACAACGTTTCAACAAGTTACATTGTCATCTGATTTCAAAGTAACAATATGTCACCATAGGTCCTAAAGATCATCATTGGATGATATTAACAACGTTTCAACAATTTACATTGTCATCTTATTTCATCAAAGTACCACAATGGCACCATAAGTCCTAAAGATCATCATTGGATGATATAAACAACGTTTCAACAATTTACATTGTCATCTTATTTCATCAAAGTACCACAATGGCACCATAAATCCTAAAGATCATCATTGTATGATATAAACAACGTTTCAACAAGTTACATTGTCATCTGATTTCAAAGTAACAATATGTCACCATAGGTCCTAAAGATCATCATCGGATGATATGAATAACGTTTCAACAATTTACATCGTCATCTCATTTCATTAAAGTACCACAATGTTCCTATTTGTCCTCATAAGTCCTGGTTCGTCGTGGAAAACACCCAGGTGTGTAGAAAGGCCAACAGAATTAGCAGTTTAATACGATATTGGATATACTCGGTATTATTGTACTTACGGAATATGCCATTAGTTTGAAGACTCTACCTGTGGCCATGATCTCTAAACAACAGCGTATGACGTTTATCTCACCTGAAAACCGTCATACACTATCGCTAAAGAAACATGCTTGTGATCATGAGGATATTTAGGTTTTGAGTTGCATCCCCTTCTAAAGGCCAATCATTTTATTTTATATCACCTGATTAATTTTGCAGAGAAATGAATTTAGAGAAGAAAAGAGGTTTTGATAGAAAGGAAACCTACCAGAAACGAAGTGAGGTTGTTCACGAGACTAAAAAACAGGCTAATAAACATCTCGAGCTGTGTTTGATGGGAGCTGTAGATATTATAGGTACGTTAATGTTCATCAACAAATCTACAGTCTAACTTGGTCAAACGGTCTAAATAAACCTAAATATTTATATGTAATTAACTCTAGTGCTAGATCTAAAGACAATGTGATTTCGATGTGAGGGCGCGTGAGGCAAACTGACAAAATGGAGAAATAACTGTCGAGGCTTAAATTCAAAATGCGAAAAATCCGAGGAGGCGTTTAAGTCTGAAAGAAAGGATTCTCTCATCAACATTTTTTGAAAATTGGATTGATTTGGCCCATTCTGACACGTATTTTTGGGACAAAAACGTAAAAAAAAACACTTTTTCTAGGGACCACTAATCACTTTAATTTAAAATAATCAATAGCCCACTCTATTTACTTCTAGGTGATTTAGAAATGGTGCTCGGATTACAGACATATGCTGAAACGATCATCTGTACAGAGGAGGCACGACTGTTTGTCCTGGATCAGAACAACTATGACCGTCTGCTGGAAAAACGCCATCCCCAGTCCCTGAACATAATGAAAGACATTGTCCATAATAAACTTACGCTTCATTTCTCTCGGCTCAGTGAACAAACTCTCCCACTGTTTAGGTTTTTCCTGTACACACTCGACGAAAAGGAAAAGAAAGAAAAATTGCGAAAGGCGCCGATTGTACAACAGGAACGCCCTCCACAAATAGAACTTAGCCCAGACGGCATTCAGAAAGGACCATTGATAAATATGTACGGGCCCGGAAGTGTGTTTTATCTTATAAGGATGAGGGAGAATAAGCGGCGTCATCGTAAAATCGAACGATCAAAATATACCGATAAACTCGACTTCAATAAAGTTCAGGAAAACCAGAAAGCTTCTGGTCGCCCGCCACAAATCGTGGAAGAAGAAATACCGGAAGAGGGCGTTAGTCCCCATCACGAATCTCAACTCGCCATTTCATTGGCTAGAAATGCGATGACAGACGATATGACAGACTCTTTCCTTACTGGTGTTGGTGAAATGTATTCTCAAGCGGAAGCGGAAGCAGATTATGCTTGTAGTGATTCTGCGCTAAGTATGTTGGAAAGAAGGATACAAGATTGGCACAATGGGTTTAATGAGGGTACTAAAGGGAATAAACGAACCGTGAAACTTCATCGGTATCAAGCAGAGGTAAGTATCTGACCAATCGGTCTACTTCTCTTCTCTTGATGGGACAAAAAAAACGAGGCACTGTGTATGTTTAAGATCCTTCGACAGTTGAAAATAGAAAAATAACTGATTGTTCTATGATCAGAACCGCAAAACAACACTTTAAATCCAAAATAACAGTTTGTCTACACATTGGGAGAAGCAGGAAATGATCAATTCATAAGAGGAATTGTATCAATTATAAATAAGTAAGTATTTCACAATGGAAATTGGTATCAGGTGTCCAGATAAATAATCTTCATCATTATTCTAGGATTCTAAACCTCGACCAGGAAACAAGATAGTCATCCGTCTAAAGAACAAAACCAATGTAGCGTTTACGTCGTTCCGGAAAGATGAATTCGATGCCCAGACCGAGCCAGCCGACATCAAGCATAGGTAAGAAAGGTTGGGTGGTTATTTGTTGTAACTGGCGCAATTTCATGAAACTAAATCAAGCTGGGTATTGAATGTATGCCGTCTAAAACGGATCGTGACAATGAGACGCCCCATGCAAAAACGAGTGTTTTTTCAAAAAAATTAATCTGCTCTCCTTCCGGTTATTACAATTACACTTTACGACGATATGAAAACTGAAAATGAGTAGTTGCTGGTTTCGCGCCCGAAGCAGACCTTGCTTTCTCTTTTCGAAAATCTGATGGCACTTCTTTTTTGCTCTCGGTTTTTGCCATACTTTGGGTGAGCTTTTGATTATACTTGATTATACTTATAACTTTGACGCGAAATGGCTTACAGAAACCTGTTCTAAGGGAATTGCTGTTGACACTATATGCATCATATAAACAATGAATTTCGTTCTCGTTTAACGACCAGTGCTTTCATTGAAACTCATATCGATACACATTAATATTGAAAAGCGTTATCCATCTTCAAGAATGTTTTTCACATGCCTTTGTTTAGTGTCATGAAGTTGTCGCCCTTTGTTGAAAACTAATTGCTTTTACGTTTAATGTCTGCTGCATGAAAAATGAATTTCGTTGGATTTTGCTAATTGTGCTAATAAATTTCAGAATTACAATGCATGACATTTGATTTTGCTAATCGTGCTAAATAAAGTTGAGAAATGCAATGCAATATTTTGCAGCAATCAGTTGTATGTAGCAAATGAAATGATTTACATAATTTACATGTCCATTAACCTAATTTTTGATGTTCTGACGCCTGTACTAATCAATGCACGAATTCGAAGGTCTTGTCCATGTAATGTAGTGCACATGCCGATTCGGACTGTTTTTATCTTCAAAAAAATACATTGGAAGCAAGACCTTCGACGGCGTATATGAGAGCTACATTGTCACTGAGGGTAACTGTTGAATTTACTTCCAAATAAACGTTTACTGTACCCTGTTTTCAAACAATTAATGATGACAGATTTCGTTCAAAAATATGAGAAATTCCGTAATTTTCTGTAATTTGCATCTACATATACTTGGCGCAGCACAAGAAGTTCCTGTCAAGATGGAACAACTTAGTTTCTGTATGATCCTTACTTCCATCTAGTCGGTAGTCAAAATTTTTGTCATTTTTCCCCTAATATCCTGATGAAAAAAGTTGACTTCTTGAAAATTAGAGCTCGTGAGCGTATTTTTTGGGGAAAAACCATGTTACCGTTATTTCTCGATTGTATTCATTCAGCCCTTTCAGTGACAATCTAGCACTCTCACCAGCAGTGATGTTTCTTCGGAGGGAGTGGTTCGGTTTCTTACCATTGAGTTATTAACAGTCTAATAAAAAATATACCAAACATCCGTTTCGTTTTTTATTAGTTCTTATGAAAAAAACGGAACGAAAATTTGGTATGATTTAATTAGACCGAGTTCTTAAATGCTTGGTACTGTTTGCCTCTCTAGACAATTCTGTGGCCCCAACTTGGCCCCTCCACCTCATGATCTATAGAAACTTCACTGCTAACCAGCATGTTTGTTTGTTACTTGTTGTTTATTTTTGTTTGTTTGTTTGTTTGTTTGTCAGTGCTCGTTTCGAAATTAACCTACCCAATATTAACCCCTCGTCGGATGATGAAACTAACAATCAAGGTAAGAGTGATAGTCTTAAAATGACTTGGCGTTTATGATGAAAATATAAACATGGGCACTCCTTATCAATTTGAAATTTGATTTAACAGGGGAAATTTGTGTAATTTTCGCTTGGATTTACTGGGAAGTGCGTATCTTACTAATGTTAAAGGGATTCTTACTATTTGAAGCGTAATAAAACACTAAGTTTTTGTGGAATTGCAGGAACCACAGACGTCTGACTGAAAACTGGAATAGTGCAAATTGATGCTATCAGTGTCTCTGATACATACACAAATTTTTCAAACCTCTTTACAATCCCTTTAACATACTAAAATTGTATATTATTATCGACGTTCAGTCATTCTAAGACTATCAGTACTATTCTGAAGCTGATACATGTATTCATTTAAATTTGTGAAAATCAGCTGAATTCGATTATAAAACAGTTGATTCTGCAAAAACAAGAGGCAAAAATTGTATGATGATTACATGTGTACTCAAACTCAAAGTCAAACGCAAATATATCTATTTTTCCGAATATGTCTGGTTTGGGCGGATAGGTTTAAATCCCCCGCACCCTCGGAGATGAAGAAAATCTCCACATGGCTTAGATTTTTTGTCTCATAGTCTAGCTCTTTAGTCTGATTTTTTCGTGTGTTTTCGACAGAAATGATCACTTATCTGTCGGAATTTGTCTTTGATTGCCATCGTGAATCACTGAAACTATTTTCACACAAAACAGTTTTTCACTGGGATATCATTTGTATCTACGTGGAAGGCTTCTTTTTATATGTAAAATGTTTTTCATGTCAAAATTATCCCAATAACACTTGCTATTTCAATCGTTTGATATTTAAATAAGTTTCGTTTCAAAACACGACTAAGATTCAAAAGTTTAGATTTTCGTTGACTTGTAATCGTTTTAACTGTATTAACATACCAATGAGGATTAACAGTATTGTCAGCAACATGAGATGAGCTCTTGTCAATGGATGAACACTTTTAAATTGTCGAGAAAGTTGATGACTAGAATGGATTCACGTGTAAAGGGAGATAACAATATATTTTTTGACAACAATTAAATTCCTGATAATGATAATGTTAATTGTTGAAACATAAAAATTTGTGCTCCGTTATTTAAACTGTTAAGCAGGGAGAATCGGGTCCTGTGATAATGCATGTGTGGTATATTTGGAAAACAATCCCGCGACTAATACTTTTTTGACCAATGACGTTAAAAACCTCCGGTCATTATAGTATTTTTCTTGAAGTTTCTTAAAGATGTATATGATCTTTTTCTACCTGTTTAGGCAAATAGTTAAGCCCCCCTTGAGACCCCCCGTATCACACTGACCTCGGTTTATTGCGATATTGAAATCTAAATTATGCAAATTGAAGTTAGGCTAAAAATGTTTCTGATATTACATAAAGCGATAGGGAAACCTCGTTTAAATCTTAATAAACTTGAAAGTTAATTATTTTCGTGTATTTTATTTTCAGAGGTATTCGAGGACTCAAACAGGTTGCGACCTAAAACTTGTCCTGCTGGAACCCGGCAGAGATTCAGAAAGGTAGGTTTTCATGAAAAAACTCTCGTTCTAATAATTGCAATATATCGAAAGATTGGTGTATCGCGATTTGACATGCCACGAAACGCGTTATGTATTTCAACCTTTTATCCCATTAACCCATATCGCTTTACGTATTGTATTGTGATACGTATTGTGATACGTATTGTATTGTGATACGTATTGTATTGTGATACGTATTGTATTGTGATAAGTATTGTATTGTGATACGTATTGTATTGTGATACGTATTGTATTGTGATACGTATTGTATTGCGATACGTATTGTATTGTGATACGTATTGTATTGTGATACGTATTGTATTGTGATACGTATTGTATTGCGATACGTATTGTGATACGTATTGTATAGTGATAAGTATTGTATAGTGATAAGTATTGTATTGTGATACGTATTGTATTGCGATACGTATTGTATTGTGATACGTATTGTATTGTGATACGTATTGTATTGTGATACGTATTGTATTGCGATACGTATTGTGATACGTATTGTATTGTGATACGTATTGTATAGTGATAAGTATTGTATAGTGATAAGTATTGTATTGTGATACGTATTGTATTGTGATACGTATTGTATAGTGATAAGTATTGTATAGTGATAAGTATTGTATAGTGATAAGTATTGTATTGTATTGTGATACGTATTGTATAGTGATAAGTATTGTATAGTGATAAGTATTGTATTGTGATAAGTATTGTATTGTGATACGTATTGTATTGCGATACGTATTGTGATACGTATTGTATTGTGATACGTATTGAATAGTGATAAGTATTGTATTGTGATACGTATTGTATTGTGATACGTATTGTATAGTGATAAGTATTGTATAGTGATAAGTATTGTATAGTGATAAGTATTGTATTGTATTGTGATACGTATTGTATAGTGATAAGTATTGTATAGTGATAAGTATTGTATTGTGATAAGTATTGTATTGTGATACGTATTGTATTGCGATACGTATTGTGATACGTATTGTATTGTGATACGTATTGTATAGTGATAAGTATTGTATTTTGATACGTATTGTATTGTGATACGTATTGTATTGCGATACGTGTTGTATTGTGATACGTATTGAATAGTGATAAGTATTGTATTGTGATAAGTATTGTATTTTGATACGTATTGTATTGTGATAAGTATTGTATTGTGATACGTATTGTATTGTGATACGTATTGTATAGTGATAAGTATTGTATAGTGATAAGTATTGTATTTTGATAAGTATTGTATTGCGATACGTGTTGTATTGTGATACGTGTTGTATTGTGATACGTATTGTATTGTGATACGTATTGAATGGTGATAAGTATTGTATTTTGATACGTATTGTATTGTGATACGTATTGTATTGTGATACGTATTGTATTGTGATAAGTATTGTATTGTGATGCGTATTGTATTGCGATACGTATTGTATTGTGATACGTATTGTATTGTGATACGTATTGTATTGTGATACGTGTTGAATAGTGATAAGTATTGTATAGTGATAAGTATTGTATAGTGATAAGTATTGTATTTTGATACGTATTGTATTGCGATACGTGTTGTATTGTGATACGTGTTGTATTGCGATACGTATTGTATTGTGATACGTATTGAATAGTGATAAGTATTGTATAGTAATAAGTATTGTATTGTGATACGTGTTGTATTGTGATACGTGTTGTATTGTGATACGTGTTGTATTGTGATACGTATTGTATTGTGATACGTATTGAATAGTGATAAGTATTGTATTGTGATACGTATTGTATTGTGATACGTATTGAATAGTGATAAGTATTGTATTGTGATACGTATTGTATTGCGATACGTGTTGTATTGTGTTACGTATTGTATTGTGATACGTATTGTATTGTGATACGTATTGTATTGTGATAAGTATTGTATTGCGATACGTGTTGTATTGTGTTACGTGTTGTATTGTGATACGTATTGTATTGCGATACGTATTGAATAGTGATAAGTATTGTATTGTGGCATGATGGGCGATACCAAATACCAATCCTGACTACATAAAATTAATTGTGCTAGAGCAGATAGGATTTCAGCTTCCCATGAAGATCTGAAATTCCTTTTACAAACGCCTTTATTTACGTAGGATATCAGATTTCACTCTTCGGTTGAGTTTTTTTTTTCTTTTGCACATATTGTTAATCTGGTATATTCATTATTCGCCGCCTACAATCTTCAGCTCTGGCGAGCAGTTGATTCGGTCAAACATTGGCTCGTGACTCTTTTAGTTAAAGATATCATGCACTTACTCATGGACTGATTTTTTACATTACAGAGAAAAGATTCGAAACAGTACACACGTGAAGAATATCTGGATCTAAAAGCTGAATTAAAACGTCGCCAGATGGCGTACAAATCATTCCTTCCACTTCAAAGATCTACCACCACTGTATAGCTATTTATAGTAACATGTGCGTATATGTACGTGTACAATTAAAGAACAATTGAAAGGGACATTTACTATGGATGTGATCATCAGATGGACCAATGATGATAATTCTAAAATTGACTGTCATACGGAGGTTAAGGTTAAGCGGCGTTAAAAATAATTAAATCAGGCCGGTCCGGCTTTGATCACCTCTCCCATCAGTTTGATATCTGTTACCATAAAGCTCTGTATTGCCCTGTGCTTTCAGGCCCTTGAAAATTCCGTGGCCCCTCCTCGGCCCCTCCACCTGTTGATTTGTAGGAACGTCCCTGAGGAGAAATCGGACAATGAGTGCTTGACGTGTAAAGACAATTGATGATCGACGTCCCGTGTAAATAAAATATAAATATATACATAATATGTCACTATTAATATTATTAAATAAAATATAGTTTATTTTTCAAAGGTATATTTCCTCTCAATTTGAGACATTGGGGTCATGGTCTGTACTAGACCGGAATCTGATCTCCTGATGGCAAGCTGTAATTTGTCACAGTTCAAGATCGAAAGTCGTGTCTTCAAACCAAGTTGTGTCAAGAATTATCTGAGTTTGAAAGTTAATATGACCACTGTCTTTGCTTGAGACTCTACCTCATATAGAAAGACATATTATATAGAAATTCTCACTTTAAAATAGTATGATTATTGTCGTGTGAATGTATTAATATGAGCCTCCTTGACAATTCTGTTTGCCTTACACCCTCACCTTAAGATATATAGAAACACCATTGATAACGTGAGATACATTTTCATTTGAGAAACGGGGCTCTAGGTATCATTTCCTTTAACAGATAGCTAGGAAGATGGCAAGTTAATCTTCGCTTCCACTGGATGCTGATATCATAGACTAGGTAGTTGATGGTAGATGACAAGTTAATCTTCGCTTCCACTGGATGCTGATATCATAGACTAGGTAGTTGATGGTAGATGACAAGTTAATCTTCGCTTCCACTGGATGCTGATATCATAGAGTAGGTAGTTGATGGTAGATGACAAGTTAAACTTCGCTTCCACTGGATGCTGATATCATAGACTAGGTAGTTGATGGTAGATGACAAGTTAACCTTCGCTTCCAGCGGATGCTGATATAGCAAAATAGATAGTTGTTGGTAGATGACAAGTTAACGTTCGCTCCCAGCGGATGCTGATATCACAGACTAGGTAGTTGATGGTAGACGACAAGTTAATGTTTGCTTCTAGCAGATGCAGATATCACAGACTAGGTAGTTGATGGTAGATGACAAGTAAATGTTTGCTTCTAGCAGATGCAGATATCACAGACTGGGTAGTTGATGGTAGATGACAAGTTAACGTCCGCTTCCAGCGGATGCTGATATCGCAAACTAGCTAGTTGTCGGCAGTCGTACAAGTTAATAGTTTGGATTGGTTCAAATTGGATGATTCTGTGCTGTTGGTTTGGTAGTTCCTTTAACAATTTATGTGTCAAGGTTATTAGCCTAATCCATAGAACATGCCTGTCACCGATGGTTCGAGTTCATGTATTTGCTTCGTTAGACCAATCCGCCTAATCTAGGATTAAAGCGGATTATTAATTAATGTATGATTAGGCGAGTTAATCAATCACAAATTATTAATCCCTATCGATTTATCCTGGATAATTACCAAAATCTTGTCCTTTCCCGTTTAGCAGTTGGTGGTGGCCATTTCTTTTGTATCTTATGTGTAGCAACAAGACTCGTTTTTCGAATTTTAATATTTTTAAGGAACTAAAGTGACGCATAAAATTGAGGTTTGCATCGGTTTGTGATTATCGTTTTCCAATAGCATCATTTAATCGATTGCCTGTATGGTTGTTGTCAAGGATTTTTCTCAAAGGAAATGTTTTGATATAGTGAGGTCTTGGATTGACATGCTGGAAGTATTTGGATTTTGTTGACTGAAAAAGTCATGCCAGATTCCGTGAGAGGTGTCACTTCACTATCATGATGATCTCAGCGAAGTTACATCTGTTATTGCTTACATTAGACACGGAGGATGCCCGCCGTAACAATCGTCCTACTTAATTTTCACTGTTACTCACGAAAGATATATTTTCTATAAGTGAAGGTTATTTCTCTGCTTAGGATAACCAGACATTTAATATTGTGCCCTATATGAATGATTTCTTGTTTAACCTGATAACAATGTAAATTGTTGAAACGTTGTTTTACGTTATGATTGATTACATTTCGTTAAAAACTTTACAGTAATTTAATACGTTTGTTACAGTGACAAGTTCGAGAAAGTGTTTCAGAATGTGAAATGAAAGCCAGACCAGAAACGTTACAACCTCTAATAATCTACGGCAACCCACTGACCCCAAGAACAAGACGGGAAATGAGTGATCTTCAACACTATCCAAGACTTCCTCCCATTCGACCAGATACAGCCGATTCAGAGGACGGTGAACTATCAACCGAAGCAAATCAGGAAGTGACGCATGATGGCGATATAGCACTAGATTTAGGCGATATTGACGTTGCATGTATAACGGAGAGAGGCACAGTTGGTTTGGAGTTCGGAAATGAAAATGACCGTCTGCAGGTTGCGTACACTCCCATAGACAATTTCCCAGGAGCAGGTACCAACGTGTCCACGGGTTTAGAGCCCTCTCCCCGTTCAGGCTCTCAAAACCCAACGCTTATAAACGGGGTTATACCTACAAGTAACAGTTCAGAAGATGCTGAGGAAACGAGGGTGTTGAGTACACTGGAGGAGATCGAGAGTCCACAAAGTGAGATAGGTGATTTACGAAATAACGATGCGCTCAACAGGAATGTTACTAAAAGGCGTCCACCCTTCACATCACCTGGGTTTAACTTGTCGACTGGTGTCGGCGTCATGAGCTCTGATGATCGAAGAAAGATACATGGAATGGATAAAAATAATCCAACAGCTATCCTCGAGTTTTCTGAAGACGAGGAATCAACACTCGTTAAAGACTCCACCCTGGACGGGAAAAAAGTCGACGAAGAGCTCACAGATGTAGCAAAAAAACAGCAAAACATTTCAAAAGCTCCAGAGATCATCCTAACCACACCTTCTATCGACATAGAAGGTACCCATTCACCTACAACAGAACAAGGAAATGTTTCCCAATATGGCGGTGAGGGACAGAAGCCAAATGATGACTTTACTAAAACTGATGACGTAGCAAGGCAACGTCATGACGTTATATCCGAAAAAGATGACGTCTTATCCAAAAATCATGACGGTTTAGTCAAAGATGTTACTGATACCGGTGATGAATATGAGATCAGCTGCGACGATGAGAGTGTTTATACCACAGATCCTTTGGACTATGACGATGACGATTCAGATGATAATTTGCTGACACTCGAAGAACAAGAAGAACAACATCTGTGGGATCTAGAATTCGAAAAGAGAAAAGATGAACTTGTTCGGGAGCAACAGAAAGTTGAGACAAGAAGGTGGGTGATGTAGATTTTTTACTATTATTATTTGATTATGATATTTAGGCCTGTATCAGCAACCGTTCTGTAGTTCTGATTTGTTGACGTATTGCGTATTGGCTGGTTGGTTGGTAGATGACAAGTTAACATTCGCTTCCAGCGTGTTGAACTACTTTCGAAGTATATAGGTTGTTTTCACAGTTACTTCCCTTAATAAGAAATGTTATAGCCTTGCGCGATGCGACAACTGTCCCAACTTTGTACAGGTGATGTCTTGGCTTATTGTCCCATGAGAAAGTACCAGACGCTTTCTACATGCCATTCCCTATATTCTGTATCGCTGATGAGGCCATACAACATAATGGAACTGTTTATTTAAGCAGACCAGAAAGATTTTGAAGGTTATGTTCTTCTCCAGTGGATCTCTTTGGGTTGTACAAAATTTAAAACCAAGTTGTATGCCTAGGTCTATGAAAAAGATATTTTAGTGATCATGCAGTCTCTCATCTATTTCATTTCGATTTATAATTTCAGGGCAGACTATCTGAGCAAGTTGAACAGCCTGACGGACAGATGGAATGGTATTGAAGCTCGTCTTGAAAATAGACAAGTTGAAAAACGTCATCAGTTATATGAGCAGCTTCAACAACTCGTTATCATGCATAAACGAAATTAAATTAAATTTGTTTTATTTTTTGTCTTTTGGAGGACGATTTTGTATGTTTTGGACGATCTCCTAGCCCATTGCCAAATCTAGCACATAAAAGAAGATGTTACAATTCGTTTCATTGCATTGCGTTTCCCCGCCTTTCTTTTTTTGGAATTGTTGCAGTATGATTTAAAACAAAGGGGCACGTAACACTTCTTCTCTTTTGCATTCATGTATAATATGGGTGCGGTTCCATAATACCTTTATTAGAAAATACTGATGTTATGGATATTATTCATTCAGCTTATACAATGGAAGAAAGAGGGGCTGACATGGAAAAAGCGTCTATTCGCCAATAAAGCAAGGCTGTGCATATTGGAGATCCGTTGAAAGTTGGAAATCTTAATGGCACACTGCAGTGCGAAACCTGTCTTAAGCCCATAGCGTTATTTCCGTTTCCTGTCCAAGCGATTCCGAAACCCCCTCCTTCCAGAAAAAAAAGTTTCTGAAAGTAACACAAGGCTCAACAGAGTGCAAAAAACACAAAACTAAAAAGATAATTTTATTCGTCACAAGTATTAGAATATCACAATAAAACAACATAGAATCTGTATTAGTTGACATATATCGTCTAGCTTTATTTTAGATTTATCTATAACCATTTCTCTTTAATGGACTGTACTGGACAGTTTATAAACATTGATTTTGGTAGACTCAGTAGCTGAGTCAGATCAAGTGTCCAGTATTGGTTAACTATCGTGAGATACGCGATACAACCACTCCGCTTACAACCTTACAACAGCTTGTTGATTTACTCGAGGATTAGAACGGTTGCGTATTATATCCTTGCGTATTATATTCGCAATTATACGTTATTGCTTGTCATTTTATAGATTTGTTGGTTGGTCAATGCCAAAATTTGATTCAAATCTGACGTTTTCAAAATATCAGATAACTGTATTTCTAATATCATTTTATTAAAAATGTTTTTTTGAAAAATATCGAGATATTAGTTAATTCGGAATTTAAAATACATGTATTTAAATGCACTAAAGGTTTCTTACAGCAGACACTATAGAAGTTACCCATTATAAATTGCACATTGAGAAAATACTCACAGAAAAATAGTTTTTGATTGAGAAAAAAAATCCCAATTTCACAGCTCAATTTAGAAATCTATTACTAAGGCACAGTTTGTTTAATATTAAAAATTTAACCTAGCTTCAACCAGAAAAGGCACATTGTTAAGAGAGGAACTTGCCATATTTTGACCGAGTCTTTGATTGCTAAGATTCAAGTTGCTTATATTACAATCCTCGGCAGTTTCCACCAAGCTGAGTCTGCTGCAGGGCGGTAACCGGAACTTTTACGGTAGACCGTTTGCAAATAACTCACTCAATGTTTGGCCAGTTATAATAGTCTCGAAATATATTAAATAACAATAGTTTAGGGTCGTTTCACTCCTTGGTCAGGGTCCAAGATATACTTAGGAAACCTGTTTCCCATGTCTTTTCAACTTATATGAGATGACCTGTAATTTCTACTCTTTGTATATTAATGACTACATGTATTCTGTTCCTGTTATAATGACGAATATTAGCAGCAATCTGTCAATGTTAATCCAGTTTTATAATTTGATATTATTTACACAATATATAATAGATATTAATATATTTAGATATCACTGTCTTGTGTTTATATTATTCAGTCAGGTGTAAACTGGACTTTAGTAACTGAAAAATCATGAATATATGGTAATTTGTAATTGATATCAGAGTATATTTTGACAGCGAATCCCGGTATATCTGTGAACTGAGTACTAATACAAACATGCTATTTTAATTTTGAATCCACACCAATTACAACGATGTATATTAAGTCTGTTCCACTCATGGACTCTTCCTGTTTTTAATGTGCATGTGCATAATTACCATTGACCTACTTTACACCATCATTTTCACGCGTTAATATACTTTCTGTACATATGACAAAATTCCAGTATTTTGAGGCCCAGTTTTTTTTTACACCATTTTATCTTTAAACAAATGTAGATGTTTCTAAAAGACAAACTACAAAAATACAACAAAACAAAACAGAAAACAAATTATGCTTAAACAAAAAAATAACAAGCATTAAAAATTCCTCACTAGCTATGACCCATTGGTCTGGAAGCCTTAAACATTCTAAAAAACAACATAAAATATAGATTGCTAGATAACATTGCTTGAAAGAAATAGTCACAGTTTTTCATGCACAGCGCCATTTTGATCCCAAACACTGCCATATAAGTAACAAGTTAGACACCCTTCCTCTATATTGAACTATTCCTTACATGAACATTTTCAATCTCACCGTACTATAGTATAACTGAGATATGCACATCCAAAATAAACAGGAAGAGTCTACTTTGTTTTGAGGTAGAATAAGTGGCACTTATAAAAGCAATATCTTGTGTGCATTCATTACCACTTGAACTACCTCAAAATTAAGTAGATGTAAAATATGATAAATGAATGAGCACAAATATTTGTATATGACAGAAGAAAAGTTCATTTTCAAGAATAGGGGCATCAAGCTTTAGAAATATATTTTTTATAACATTTAATCTGGCAACAATGACAGATTCTATTTCGACACTAGATCTTAAAAATGAGGTACAAATGCAAAAAGGTATAAATTTTAAAATATTCTTTGGCTAGGGGCATAAAATCTACTAATATTTACAAAAAAACTAAGTTTCTCTAAAAAAAAAAAAAAAAGTCCTAGAAATGTAAAAATAATCGTGGGGTAAATAAAAAATAGAAAATATAAACAAAATTATAGAAAGACGTTGACAGTAAAAATTAAATTTTAAAAGTTAGTAAGGGATGTCTGTGAGAAGAAATAGGAGTTTAAATCATTATTTTGGAGCTTGCCCTTTTTTCAGATCGTTTTTCCAGACTTACGTTTATGTTTTTGTTTTGTTTTTCTAATTTGCATCATATTTTATAAAACATTTCTTGTTTGTTTTATTCTACCCTTAAAAAAGCCATTTTTTCACGTCCAGAAAAGACCAGCAAACTTTTGTATCTTCCTCAGATAAATGCCCTCAAGTGAAAATTTTTGGCAGTATTCGTAAAAACACATATTAAAAAAACTTCACTCTTTTTTTTTTTTTAGGAATTCTTAAAACTAAACACTCTCTAAATGTCTTCTAATTTATATAACAAACACAAAAACGTCTTTATTATGTTTGGTAACCATTGGTAACCAAAACAGTTATATAATAATAGTAACCATTGGTAACAAAGTCAATTATATAATAATAGTAACCATCAGTAACCAAAAGAAATATAAAATTCTGGTATCCATTGGTAACCAAAACAATAATAAAATTCTAGTAACCATTGGTAACCAAAACAATTATAAAATCCTAGTAACCATTGGTAACCAAAATAAAATTTCAATTTTGGTGACCAATGATTACCAAACAAAAACAATGTATACATTTGGTGATGAAAATAAATAAATAAGCACCATAATATCATTATGTCCAAAAAATCTCTTGATTGGTTTCTATGGCAACGAAAATGTCTTTTGAAAATACATGTATCAGTGAGTGAAAACTCATCATTGTTCTGCAGTAGGAGGGAGTTTGGCTGGAGCTGCTTTGTTGCGTTCATGATCTCGAAGTTTTCGGTAAAAACTCTGAACATACGTAAAGACACATTTCCAATCAGGATTTTTCATCTTCACCATATCTTCGACGTCCAATAACGGAGCAATATCAGCCAACTCTCTAAAATTAGAAATAAAAAAATCTTTGAAATAATTAAACCAAAACATAAAAGCCATTAATCAAAAATTAAATGTAATGTCAGTGGTGAAAAAAAAAAAAGATATTTGTTATAATCTATATTTTATCTTTGTTAAGTTTTTGAGAATAAGACCCCTAGGCCTAATCAAATGTGGAAAGATAAAAATATAGCTTGAATGTCCATGCAATGTCCACCATTTTGTTACAAAATACACATTATCATATAATATAAATATATAATATAAATTCCACTTACTCAGCCTTGTCAAAAGCTAGATTAAAATTAGCACGGCGTTGTTTGGGATCCAGCTTGGAGAAATCAAAGGAGTCAGGATAGAAATGATGAATCAAAGCACAAAAAGCCATTCCATTGTTCCAGGAACTAGAGAAATTGGTAACCTCAACGTTCTACAAATCGAAAATATTTATGAAAACATGAAGAAGTTGAAATGTAATGAATGCAAGAGAATTTTTCAAATCCTCTGGCCCTTATAATAGTGCTGGACAAAGACCTTATTGGGCTATTGAAACAGAATTTTCCTCCAAGCTTTTGTGTACCTTATTGGGCTAATGAAACAGAGTTTTGTTCTAAGCTCTTGTGTGCCTTACTAGGCCAATAAAAGGGTGTTTTGCTCCATCCTTTATTGTTTCCTATTGGGCTGAAGACATCAAATGCTTTGTATCTTGCTGCTCTGTATGCTTTCTGGTAAATGAAGGTGGGAAAAGCCCTACATAATGTCTCTTTTTGAGCTTTGGAATAATATCAAATATATAAGATTGCACAGGTTTTGCACAATAATACCGTTTTTCAACAATTCTTGGCAATTTGAGAATATGTTTTCATTTTGCAATTCCAATTTTCTTAAATGTAAAAATTGAAATCTAAAAAGACCTCAGTGACACTAAGGTTACTTTAAATTTAGAAAATTCTTGCAGCTTCACTTTCACAATAATAGCAGATAGCAACGGTGTTAATAATCACACAATACGACTCAAAACAACCATAACCAACAAGATAAATCTACAATCCACAACAATACACAAATAATAAGCATGCCACCAACACAAAACACTACAATAACTAACTAATTTAACTTCATAATATCTTATCACACTTTGACTTTATAGCTAAAAAGATTTGTATATCACTAATAAATATATTCACACAAATATCGCATGCAGAAAGTAAGGAAAAAAGACGTTTGTTTTCTTGCAAGATTTGAAAGTGCAACATCACTGAATAACAACTGAGCATGCAGTTCAATGAGTGTTAGTAATATATATATGAATTTTACTGCAGATGATGTACATGCCAACTGTAAGTTGTTGACCTAATTAAGTAATGCACATGCGTACTGAACTGCGACCTTAAAAGGCAAAGCACATGCAGACTGATCTATGATAAGTTAATGATCTATGATTGGTCAAAATGAATTTCCCAGCATGCAATATACCTCATATTCCCTGGTCATAGCCTTGGCCCATTCTAACATGGTGGCTTTAATGGTGCTTGGACTACGTGAGATATTAGCTTTCAAACCACCACCAGCGCTAGTGACGGAAGAGAGAGAGGGTGAAAGTGAGTATATGATTGTTACTATTATAGAAATATGATTGGATCAAATCATTTTATAATGAGTACTTGTTTAGTGCAGCAAGATTAATTCCATCATGAGTGAGTCTTCTTAATATAAGACCAAACTTTGTTACGTTTTTATTTTTAATTAGCCAAACGGAAGTTTGGTCGAATTTTTTATATATTTTTTCTTTATCCGTCATTTACATTTGGTCTAAATTTACTTTAATTTTTTTCATAATAAAGTTGGTCAACACTTTCAAAATTTTATCAAAAGATTTCGAAATAAGATACAAAAAAGGTTTGATCCAATCATGAAGTTAGTCAGAGTTATATTTCAAGTTATATACATTATTAAAATTATAGAATGAAGTCATCAATCTGCCATCTGGAAATGAAATTAAATATTAAGTATGGTTTGTACACAATTAAATGATATTTTATTATATATATTAAATACTGTAATCTGATTGGATAGTTTAACAACTAAGTTTTGAAATCCACTTTAGGGATTGACCAATCAGATGACAGGAACACTAACAATGTCTACAGTTAAATGTTTTGTAAATAAGTGATATTATGAGTTTTGATGAAATATTATATGATTTAAATAGAAAAGTGACAACCCTTCCCCCATCCCACACAGCTTTTTGGATAATTTTGGAATCGGGTGTCTTGAAAATTTGAGATGGTTACCAAGAGTTAAGTTAACTAGGTCATCTAAAAATAATTAAAAGTTTAAAATCCAAAAACGAGCTGAAATGATTATATGGTGTAAAATATTGACAATTTGAACACAGAAAATGCAAACATGAGATATAAAAGAAACAAATACATGGCAAATATTATATATGTATATCGAACAACATCAAAAGCTGCAGAAAGAAATAAAAATATTTTCACAGAAGATGAATGAAAACCTTCCGATGGCTGAAGAAAAAATGTTCACAAATGTGCTATCTTAAAACTATACTACTTCTTAGAATGGAAATAAAATTTAAAGTCTCAAGCTTGGTCAATAAGTGTATATATACATCAGTTGGACTTACCAGATGTCATGACTACAGAATAGAATCTCTGTATAACATAATATATCCATCAAACTTTTTAGCATGTTTCAAAATAACTTAATTTAATTACATAATTTTATGGATTTATTTGATTATAGAGGGATTCTGTTGTTAAGTTACTACACCAGGTTAGTCCACTGACAAACAAAAACTCTTTTTGTCCAAGTTATAAAATTTAAATTTTTTGGAAGTAGTATACCTTTAAATACAAATTTGAATTTGTGCGCTGAGATCCAGGTGTGACGGAGCCATTAAGACCATGGGGAGGCTAAATTTTATTCAAGATAAGTGTACAGACTAGAGGAGGCTAATAGGCCTACATATTTAACCTTGGTGTATTAAAACTGGAGATGCTAAACTATCCCTGACCTACTGGCTCCACCAAACCTAGTGAGATCTTTGTTAAACCTCATAACATAACACAAGACAATTTTCTCCAACATGAACAAGAAAATCACGAAATAGTAAGGATTTTTAGGAGGAAGGGGGTAATGCAATTGATCAAGGTTCCTGAAAGGGGTAATAGAAAGAAAAGGTTCAAAACCCCTGTATTAGACATAGATTATGACCTTAAATAATTAACACTATTTAACAATAATTAAAGCAATTAAAACATGCTGAAAACATCAATTCTGACGTCTGCCACAAAACTTAATATATAGTGATCTCCTGCTCACCAAATAGCAGATGCAATACTGAGTTCTTTCCATTGGATTGTATTTCTCAAAATCGGTGTTAAAACACTTCTAAAGGTATATGATGATCAAATTTCTAGCAAGTTAGCCTTATTCAATTTTTCAAACAAAAATTTTTTACAAGGGAAATAACTCAATATTTGCAATCTGTCATAGCAACATGCAACCAATAACCATAGTAAAAGTAACCAAACACCACCATCTTGGTTACCTCATATTCACTAGTCATGGCTTTAGTCCATTCCAACAGCATCTGTTTTATAGCACTTGGACTACGTGTCATCCTTTTAACAAAAATTAACAAGATTGGAATTGGTATTGGGATTTCAAAAATCAAAATGGCCACTAGCGGTTTAAACATATGATGAAATGCATCATGGCCTTCATTGGAATGTAGCCTATTTAAAACAGTTAAGACAAAAACTGTACACTGAACATTGATCTAAATTGTCCAGAAATATTCAGCATCTTTATGAGATCTGTTATGAAAACACCCTGAAGAAAGAAGATATTAAAATAAGAGATCAATTCTGAAAAAAAGAAAAAACAACTTTCAAAAGTGTACAACTACCATTGATGTAGATAGCTTACAAAAAAAAAAGAAAAAAAAGATAGCCTACAAAATAAAATAAGGACATATTAATCTAATGCTCGAGGCCTCCTAGAAAATTTGGATAATGGTTTTATTTTTAATCTCAGAAGGTATAACAAGTATAATATTTGAATCTTGATGAGATAGATTGGTAGAATAAAAAGTTAGTTTAGAAATAAGATCTGAAAGAAAGTAGGACAGAAGAAAGACAGAAATAACCAGTGAAATGAAACCGATAATTTACCTACGGGCCCTGTAGCTACAGTAGGACAAGGGAGAACAAGGGGAGACAATTCAGAACAATTCCATTACTGCAACTAAACACCATCCATCATTGCTCCTCCAGATATATTACTTGGCCCTCTGAACAATTAAGTCTGGCTAGGGCCGCTTCACATAAATCTAAACTAAATAAACCGTAACCTTACTCAGAGAATTGATAAAAAAAGAGTAATACACAATCAAATTATAAGGATAATAACTAAGCTTCTCGAGAGTCTATACTAACTGGTCCTTGATCAAACCTCTTGATACTTAATTATCAAATTACTATTGGGTTGACTGGAATAATGACGAAATATGACCCAGGTACCCAGGCTTTCATTTCAGCAATTTATTTCCTAAAGGCTACCAGCCAAATTCAAAAATGTTTCTATCATTGCCAAAATCATATCATTGCCAAAATCATTTCATTGCCAAAATCATATCATTGCCAAAATCATATCATTGCTAAAATTTGCCATTCATAATAGAAAATTTAGTTTTTTCTAATCAAAAGAGACAGGAAACTTTAAACAACTGACTAAACAAACTATTCTGTAGAATCAAAAAATTATTCGCAGATTTCCCATCAAAATTGCCAAATTACAAAATCTATCAAATGAAAACCAGACTCATAGTCTTAAAATTGAAAAATGTTGAATATTTCCTAATTCTGTCATTAAAACTACCTCATATTCTGTTGTATTTGTTTTAACGAATTCTTTCAGTTCTTCTTTAATTTCCACGGCGTTACGCTGCATGTTGCGTACAGCTTTCTTCGCCATAGTAACAGTTGCTAGAGCACTGTGGGAAAAAATAAAACATGCAAATATAATTCTTAAAAACAAGAAACGTAATAGAAGAAAATGAATTCAATTGTTATAATTGAAACAGCTCTAATTTATAATTTAAGCTAGCCTCTGTTTCAAATTATATTTTCAAATTTTTTAGGGGTGGACCATTTCTTGAATATTGTTGAACAACTCATTTCATGTCTATCTTTTTGGGTTTTTTCTTTGCAATATATATCAATATATCAATTTTGACTTGTTAAATACTTGTTCATACAAAGATCAAATTAATTCAATTAAAATTTGATTTTTTCAAAAAATATAAAATGGGGAGAAACAAAATTAAATGTCTAAAAGAATTAAAAAACAAATTTTAATCTAAAAAAATCTAGAAATCTAATAAAATCTAAAAAAAAAATTGTGATTTTACATTCGTTTTTTTCGTACATGATAAGAATGATTTCAAATAGAAATGTTTTTTTTTTTCAATAATATTTCTTTATCGATTTCAACTTTCATTGAGAAAAACACTTAGCAGTTTTGAAAGGGAGTTTTACATCCTATTATAGATACAATTGATAAAACTCATTGTTATTTCATATTGGGGTTTATAGAAGCTTCAAGGTATCAATGGAGGTATTGAAAACCTCCAAAAATGAAACATAACTTTCTAAAAATTTCCATCATCTAATTCTGTTAATATTCTAAACCTAAAAACTTCAATTTCTAAAAAAATATTAGTCAAGTTATTCTGATTAAAACAATAACAGTACCTATTGGAAAAGCTGAAAATCGGGAAAAAAAATTAAATAAAAAAACATACATAAATTATCAATGACTATAATCCTGATCCTGGGGGGTAGCGTCTTTGGAAATTAAGGACATGTTTAGTTAAAATATTCTGAGAACATGGTAATTAATTTTGAAGTAGCCAGAATTTTGAAATCAAGAGAAAAAAAGGTAATTTGATTAAAATACAAATTTGGATATTTCTTTTCTTGTTCTTATCTGCAAGTAACTCTACTTGCCATCTATGATCTGAATAAATTGTTACACATCTGAAGTACTGGATTATATTATATTCCTCCAATCAAATCCTTTTCAAAGCTTCTGTGACATGTTCATTTCCATTTTTTTTTTGAGACAAGTCTTTGTATATATATTGAAATTTAGGAAAATGTTTGGAGAGGAGAACCTCAATATCTACTGTCAGGAGGTACCCTTTTTTACACAACCAACAGCCTATACCCCTGGATTATTCTTAAATTATTCAAAAAATCCCAGTACTTTATAACATAACTTTGAATTTGTTTTCAATTTTGTATCATATTGTTTTGTAAAGAGAAAGATATGATATCTATTTTGTGATTATTAAAGGTGTAATATCTGTGTAAGACCGTCTTATTTAGTTTTTTCTTAAAACAGTTTGATATACTTTTAGAGTACTGAGATTTCAATCTATTTAATTTACTGGAGCAAAAATATTTAAACACCTTAGAGGACATTTCAGAACATTAATTAATACAAACAATCAACTTTATCTTTTGGTTTCTACACTACTATTTGTGAAACATCCATATTATTGTTTTGATGTGTATAAATATCTCTGCTACAGTATAAATGTGTCTAATTACAGATAAAAATACATACTTTGGTGCTCCCTTAGCCCCGGCTGGATTTGCTGATTTATCCATCTGTTTGAATGCATTCATGGCACCTTTAGCCCCACCTGAAAAATAGGGAAAAATTCAATATTGAATGATATTATTCATCTTATACTTCACTATTATTCCTTCTAGAGATATATGTTTGGTTGTCAATAAGCAAAAAATACCCAGTAAATTTTCAAAGGGTCTGTGGTGATCAAATTTGTTTGCTTAATTTTAAAGACTACAGTTCACAATACATTATGAAGCTTTTCGGTCTCTCGTCAATTTTTCATGTCTTTTTACAACCATTTCAAAATGTTAACACTTTTAAAACAGCAATTTTAAGTTAAAATACACTTAACACTTATACTAACACTTATCTTGCTATGTAATCATGCAAAGGTTAATAATGATGATTCTTTACATGCAATAACAAGGTGCAACCTTTGATGTTTGATTCGATATGATTAATTATGTTAAGGTTCACATGGGCTCTATTCAAAGTGTCAATGAGTAGCCTAGTGTCATGATAACATAAATACTGATATCTTTGTATCTTTCAGAGTTCAATTTAGATCATTAATTCTTTCTTTAACTAATCAATTCAAATTTTGATGTGCTAATAGTAGATTGCAAAAAGGGTCATTTGCTCAAATTGAACCATATATGGACAGTTGGAGAAACTTTATCTTATACAAATATCAGCCAGCCAGAAATTTGTCAGAAGCTTGTTCTTATTTTGTGTGTCATCTTCAGAAAAATTCCTGCGATGGCAAGATTCTACCACACCTCACTTGATCAATGAATATGATTACAACACTTGAGAAATAATGGTTGTCTAAATCCCATTTCTAATCTTAAAACAAACTACAACAATATTAAGATTTTCTATGTAGATGATCTACTCTACCTCCCCACGATTCTGTCTTCTGTGATTTTTCCACTAAACCATCTTTACTATTCCACGATTCCGTTTTCACAGTAATCTGACCACTTGTGCCATATCCACAGTTACGTAAAATCTTATTGGTTAAATCTGCAGCAGTGTTGTCTATAAGCCAATGAAAACACACAACACAAAACTCAATCAATAAAACAAAAGTAGAATAACACCATGCAAATGAATTAAATCTAGATGAAATGAATGAATGAATGAAAAATTACAAGTAACAGTTTTTTCGGTTTAGGGTTAATTTATAAAATCTTCACCAAGAATATATTGGAGCTGATCAAACCTTAATTTCAGTGAGTGACCAATCAAGAATCAAGGGATCAAGCTTTTAAAACTTGTGTTTAAATTCCATCAAAAGTGAACCTAATTTGATGAGCAAGATGTGTTTTCAGGCAACAATATTTTTTAAAGGAAATTTCAGATAAATTATTGGTAAATTTTCATACAAAAAGAATGAAGAGTGGAAAATTTCTTATGCAATCATATTCTGCTTCCAAAAATGTTTTGTATTTGGGTCCTTCTGTCAGCGCTGGTGACAAGATCAACAGAAATTGTGATCGACAAATTTTTTAACAATGAATTAATTTGATATGAAAAATCTACATCAAGGCATGCTAACTGATCTAGTAAACTCAATATCAGGCAATGTTATAAATCAAGGGCAATAACTCTTACTAACCTGCTGGTTTTTTGCTGTAGGACATTCCCATTGGCGTAGATGTTTTAGATAGACTCGTCTTTTGAGTGGTTGTTGTGGTCGTTCCACCTAAAATCGAACATGTTGTGTTAGTGGTAGCCTAGCAACGAAAGCCATACTCTTAAAAAATGCAATAAGAAGTCACGATTTTACACAATTTAATTTTACAATATTTAATTGCCTTGATGCATCTTATATTCCAATACTCAAAAATTCAAAAATTCTAGAAAATTATACGCATATTTTCATACCAAAGACACATTGATACATATAATATAACATCATTATCTTGGTCTACCTTTGTCAAAATAACTTAATACATTTGAAAGACATGATATCCTTTTAACTTTCAGATCTCGATATATTTTTTCACTTTCTAAATTCAAAGCAGTTGAAATATGTTTCAACTCTATCTGAAGAAAATCTAAAAATTTCTTTTTAAAAAAAAGCTGAATGTCAAAAGCTTTGTAATTCAATTTCGCAACCATTCTTTAACATATGATAATAATTTGAATACCTAGCATACATTAAAAGATAGACCAAGATGTTCCTCAAAAATCTGGTATGATAAGAATAAAATATGGCCGCCAACAACAAAGTAACAACATTGCTTGTTCAACAACCAAGCAACACAGTAACAATAAAGCCACAACATTGAATACGTGATGTAAATGATTCAGGGCAAGGATTTTTTCATTTTTGGGCATTTTTAGGGGGTGGGGGACTCTCAGAGAGGGAAGGGTATCTGGACCTAGATTTATTTTTTGATTTTATGAATTCTTATCACTTTCATTTGATCTAGGTTTGATATTGTAAATTTTATCAGAAATATCACGTAAAGAAAATAGCAAAATTAAATTCAAGCTATTTTTCTGATTTTGCTGTGGAATCTCCACCTATAACGTTTAACATGATAGGGAAAACCAAAAAACGTCAAAAAGTCTTGATTTAATTATTCATATAAACAAAATTCCAGCCACTGCTATGCAGATGCTTTGTCAAATATACCTCCAATCAACAGCCTTAGTAAAATCATAGAAATTGTAAGGAATTTGACCTGACAGAAGATTTTATAAATAATAATACAGTTAACTTAGTAATCAGACAAACTTGATAAAACATCCTCGTTTTTAACCAACAAAAACACAAGTTTTTGGAAATTCTCCAGAATGAACATTAAGCCTGTTTTGATGAAAATATCTTGTTGAAGAGAAAAACAGATATCTGTATGAAAATATTTCATTTTAATTTCTAGATTTTGTTGACAGATATATCACTTGAATGTTAAGTGATACAGTTTTTAAATTAAATTTTCCAATAGCTGTGCCAAAACAAACTTTGAAGTTAAGTTATCCAAACTTATTACAATATTTTCTACAAGTTAAAAGGTTTTGCATCAGTTTTGAACAGGAAATTCATGAATGTGTCAAAAATTTCCGTTAGAATTTTCAAATTCATTTATCGCTCGGCTAAAAACATCAGCTCAAAATATTTTACCGAACATTTGAAGGTACATTATCCAATATGATTAGAATTTTTCTACTAGTTAAAAAAGTTTTGAATAGAAATGAAAACAATCACAGCAACTTGTGGTTTTAAGGGTTTTCTATGGTTTTAATAGTATAGTGTGAAGACATCAAATTGTAGCACAATTCTAATTTGGCTTTAGGACATGATCAGGCAATTCAGGAATAAAACGGGAAAAGGTTGGGAGAAATATTTCAAAAACTTCAAACATTACTGCTTACATGAGTGAGCAGATTAAAATGACTTCAAACTCTGGTATCTAGTCAAAAATATTTTTCACACAAATGAAAATATGTAAAACCAGAGATTTGGAAAACTTTTGTTTATATATTTATATGGTGAGAGGAGACATGCAGAGTAATACTGTGTGAATGGATCTTGAAGAAAATTTTGAATTTTCTTTATTTTTTTGTCTGATCAAATCAATTTTAGATTAGAAAGTGACAAAAACTTAACTTTGAGATAAAATTCAGTTTCAGAAATAAGTGTAATCTTAGTACTTGATCAATCAAATTACTCAAACAGTAGACGTTTCCCCAAACTTATCTGTGCCACATATAAAAGATCAGTCCTGGTTGCAGGGATGAGGTTTCTTTCATACTTAAGATCTTCCTAAATGTTCTAATGAAATTTGGAATCAAAATGGCGGGATGAAATCACTATGTTACCACTCATGCAAAGGAGACTGTTCTAATGCACCCAAAGCCAGCTGCAAGAATTTGAAAAAGATAGAAATGGTCACCCTGAGTTTTGGTAGAAGTTTGAGAAATCGTTGTTGTATGAGTAACAGAACCGTCAGCACCTGTTTTTGATTCCGCGATCTTGCTGTAACTTTCTAATTTTTTCTGTTTGTCCTCATCTGCTGCTTTTTTGGCATCTTTAACCCGGCTGTCAGACGACTTCGCATACTGACTTTCCCGCTCTCCTGTCGGACCAGCAGCTGCGTACGACTGCATCTTTCTGGCTTTTTCCTCATCAGCAATCTCATACTGACGTCTGACAGCTTTCTCTGTGTCTTTTTCATGCTCTAATCTTTTCTTTTCATAATCCTCTGGAAAAAGAAAATGCTTCATTAGAATTTTTCGAATCCGAAAAAGGGTTTGGCATTTCTGCACCTATCAGAAAATCACGTGATAATATAAGTCAAATCAAATCAAACAAAACCTGCTTTAGCTGAATGATCTTTCTTACCAGTTTTCAAACCAAGAACAACTCTTCAAAATGTTTTGCGAATAGAACACATTGCTGATCTTGTTTTTTTATCTTTAAGAATATCTAAAAAAATTGTGATGTTTCTAGATTCAAAAGATCAAAAGCATCAGATCCCACTCAGTAAGTATTTTTGCCACCCCAGTCGATTCTTTTAAAAGCTATTAGGTTTTTGTCCTGATAATAAATATTTAAACACTTACTTCTCTGCTCCTCGTGTAACGTTCTGATTCGGGCTCGAATCTTTTTCTTCTCATCAAAACTTTCTGTTTCATTCATCTAAAAATTAAATTGTGACATAAAATTAACAAAATTTTATTATGTTTTCAAGTTATCCTGCCATCCATTTCTCAAAAAATACTATAGCAATCTCGGAATTTTACATTAAAAAACTGCACACTTAGGCCTACTAACAGACATTTTGAGAATAGGGCCTGCAGATTGTTTTGTCAGTTTTATCCTTGTGATTAGGAATTAAACTGGTCTGCCATTCCATCTAAAGGCTTTGCACCAAAGGAACGGGTTCAGGAAATTGTTAACTTGGCAAAGATTGGACGAAATTCAAATAATACACTGGGTTCCCAGTTGTCAAGGCTAAGTAAGCTACGTCTCGCCAAACTCCTTCACTGAGATTAAGAAAGTACCTGTTAATAGGGAAGCGATATACAACAGGGGTCC